TCTCTCCGGAGATCATGCAGGAAATAGTAGTAATAGTAATTAGTAATGCCTACTATTGATGTGTTACAATCCATCCGAGGGCTTTACATTTGTCATAATAATAAATATGATCGGCATGTGACATGACCTATGACATACTCATTGATGTAAATACACCAGCCACACAATAGCCTGTTCATTTCTGTTATGAAAAATCGTAATTCCGACTTACTATACTCAGAACGGACCGAGTTGCACACCGTGTTTCCATCTCAATTATATACAATATTCGGCATCATCACGAGGTCGGTGTGTAGTTTCCAGTACATATATATATACACCCCATTCTGGCAGTTGGGGAAAACATACGCCACTCTTTTTCTTCACTTTTTTATTTTCTCATCGAAGAGTAATGTCTATCATCTACGGATTAGTAGCCCGTGGTTCTGTTATTCTCTCTGAATACACGAACACTACGGGAAATTTCACCCAAGGCATGTCAAGGAACATGAAATAAGAGGGTGGGGGCGGAGAGCACGGAATTTGGAAGCATAAAGCATTGCAGAGATTGTGTGAAGCTTTGGGTATTAATTGTATAAAATTGGCTTCAACTTCGTATTCACTGCAGTTACGCAGGCTATACTCGACAAAATCCCTCCAAATAACTCCAAATTGACATATGTATACGACAGGCAAGTAAATTGTCCAAGCTCAATAAAGGCGATTTAGCGTATAATATTAACGCACTTTTAAGATATTCCATGTTGTAAGTCTATTTACATGCTCATAAACCTATAAAAACCCGCTTCAATATCTATTGTAGATACCTTTTTCATTATATCTGTGAAGATGGGGTGACATATATGTGCATGGCCGATGATTCTTTTCAACGTCGAATTCCATTTGCTTTCCTGGAAGACATTAAGCAACGTTTTTTAAAGGCCTATTCCAAAGATAGAATAGATTCCGCATTGGCTTATGGATTGAATGAGTTTGCCAAAGTCATTGCTGACCGAATGGTATGTGTCAGCTGTGAACGTTGAACTTTTAATCATCCCTTTGGGTTGAACTACATTCTTTTGTCTTCTCTTGTAGGAATACTATTCGAGCAATCCTAGTGCGGACAGAATTAGACAGGTCCATGGTGAGATTGAACAAGTAAAAGATGTTATGGTTCACAATATCGGTAAGATATCGTCATCTAGTGTACTATATTCCCATTAATAAGCACCAAAACCGAGTGAGGAAGTGCTGCCGTTGGTTTTATGGCAGTGTATCAACTGCTTAGTGGTTATATTTCATGAGATGGTATATTCAGATAATTTGAACCTGACAAACTAATTAAAATAGAACGTGTGTTGGAGCGAGGAGAACGGATTGAATTACTTGTTGATAAGACAGACAGTCTCAATCAACAGGCATTTGCCTTTAAAAAACGAAGTACTGCACTGAAGGTTGGTATCAAATTTCGAGGTAGCGACTGAAAGGAGTTGCGATTAAAGGTATAGCGCTGTATCTGTAATGTCATCTAATGGTCACCATTTTGTTGTATTTGTAGCGATCGATGTGGTGGAAGAATACGAAACTGATGATTATTCTGATCTTTGTTATTATTGTAAGTAGTTGGTAAATTACATGTGTATTAAGCTTCTGTTGAATATTGATTACTTACATGCATTGCGATGTTATCCACAGTTGATTTTCTATTTTATCATTGCATCCGCCTGTGGATTTCCAGGTTAGTAGACTATAATCGGTTCTTATTCTGTCTGATGTCATGTGCCAACACAACACTGATAATGCTTTCTTTCTTGCACCCCAAATTAACCTTCCCTAAAATGATCATTATTTTCTACTAGCTTTGGGCGACTGTCTATAAGCTTTGTCTTTATTTGATTGTCTTATATAGATTGAGAACCGTCAGCTATCATTTCCCGATATGTATCGAACGAAACGACTACTCAATTTGTTTGAGCAATAAACCATTGACTCACTTAAAGCAGTTATTTATCGACTAATCAGCCTATTCAGGAAATTGTATTCAATTGCATGATCTGTATATAGTCTCCTCGTCTACTTGGCCTTTGAATTCTTGACAACTCTTATGCCGGGTAAATCGATAGGGTTAAAGGTGCGCTGACAGTCAGCGTATGCGACCCCTATGCCAAACCCAGTGGTTAATGCCATCGGCCATGTGCGACCTATAATAACAACAGAAATCCGAATGAAGAGCCGTAAGCGTTATTATTAAAATTGACTCTCTTTAATGTACATGATAGAGGACACTTACGCTTAAATAATAGAGCAGACGCAACAATGCCGACACTAAGTCCAATTCCGCTTTTAACGAGAAAATTCGATATACACAGATCCCACTGCCAATACAGTCAACACCCTAGTTATTACAATATCGACTTTGCTAATGTTTATAGCGGCTTTCATAACTACTCACTTTCTCATTTAAGATCTCCTCGCTTGGAGGCTTTGTGCTGTCACTCATAGTTGCAGTGAGAGGACTGACAGGCAGTAAGCACTACGCCCAAAACAATTTTTTATCGATCACGGGGATGTGGATCAATTTATTTTTTTGTCATCGAAGACTTTATTCTATTTATGGATACCAATCTAGTGAGGCAAGAGAATGCTACATTCTCATTGACACTCATTACAAATTCTCACAATGTATGCGCCTCAATTTTGAAATACAACGTCTTTGCATACGAATTACATTTCATTGACAGCGGCTACTCACAGATATGTCTCATTAGACGCCCCATTTGCTGAAACTGGTAGATATAATCTATCCTAATATATATTATAATTATTTGCTCGAATTGTTGTTACCGCTTAACAATCATCAACGCTTCTCTGGTAGACTCAACTACAGCTTCTTGAGAACGTTCTATTTGCGATAATCAAAGTTAATGTTATTCTCGCCATTAATGTCAATCAACAAGCTGTACTTGTATCATGATGGTACGCCTCACATGAATCTCATAATCTAAATCTGACCAAGTGTTGATAATGGATCACAGCAGATCTATGATAGGTGAACATCCTCTGGAAAGAAGGGACCTTGATAATTCAATTTTGGGCGAGTTCACATTTTCGACGACCAATGATTGTTGACAAAATTAACAAGGTTGAACTTTGGGTCTTCTAATGCCTCTTGAAAATTTTGTCACATGATAATAATTCAACGCGTCATCAAAAGCGACAAAGGAGTTCCTCCATCCGTGCTATATGGTATATAACAACGCATTTTATGATTATTGAATCGAGAGTATTAAATTCTATGACTGATACTCATCACTTAAATCTCATTGCTCGCTCACTACTAAAAGGATTATAGAGTATTATAATTAGACTAACCGTGGGAATTTAAGTTTGTACAACGTTCTATTACGATATACAGTAACCAATGAACGAGCAACACATTGTAGATTTCTTTGCTTGCAATACCTCGCATTGGAATATCACTCTCTCGAACAAGGCTGTCGCTATGAGGGACCAATTAACCCTGATCGTGCTTATTCTTGCCATTTTATTTCGACACACATCCGCCTTTTATGATAAAGATGGACCCGTTATCGTCTTGAATGAAAAGAATTTCAAAGACGAGGTTATATCGACCGAGGTACGATTCGTACGCAGGTCGTTCTTTTAGTAATCAACGTCGCCTAATTAATCTCTGTATAATCAATCGCACGTCTAGAAACTGGTATTGGTAGAGTTTTATGCCCCGTGGTGTCCACATTGCCAAAGGTATTTCAAAGCAAGTGAGACTTATTATGATATCAACAATTGAATAATCGTGTTCTTTTCTTGAAAGAACAGGCTCACTCAAGATTATAAAAAGGCAGCAGATAACTTGAAGGGTCTTGTAAAAGTTGGTGCCGTTGATTGTGATGAAGATGCCAATCGTGGTTTATGCCAAGCGTTTGAAGTTAAAGGTTAGGGATGGATAGTAATATAGATTCTTTTAGGAATCCGTATTACTAATAATAAGATATCCTATCAGGATATCCTACTATAAAGCTTTTTCCAAGCAATCGTGTACCTGACAAACGGAACCCTGGCGCGTACACTAAAAAACCAAAATGTAAGTCTAGATATTGTTTTTTTTTACAAACGACTGGGTTAGGCTGTTTAGCTCACAACATTTGCAGCGTATAATGGCGAGAGGACTGCTAAGGCATTCGTCGACTATGTGCTGGCTGAATTACCATCATATGTCCAGCCGATATCAAACAAGCATCCGACAAAGAAGTCGCTTACCATTGATGAGGTTTTGGAAAAAGATGTAAGTGCAAACATTATGTGCAAGTAATTAGAGGACATGGGAGAATTGTATATTAATTCGAAAATTTTTATTTTTATTTTATTTTATTATTTTTTTGCTTGCAGAATTTGACTGTTTCGAAAGTTATATTGTTTACCAACAAAGATCGTACGACACCTTTGTACAAAGTCCTGTCAGCCGATTATCGCGACGGCTTGTTTGGCGAGGTCAGACAAAAGGAAACCGAGATTGCCCTAAGATTCAACGTAACCACGTTTCCAACGCTGTTAGTTATTCCAAAAGGTGAAACCGAACCTATCAAGTATGAAGGTTAGTAACAGACATTTAAAAATTCGTTTGACGCTAAATCTCTGTGTTTCTTGTCGAGACCGTATTCGAATTATGTTTGTAGGCAAATACAATCACGAATCTTTGTCCAATTTCCTGAACAAATATGTATCGACTGGCGGGAAGCCAGGAGAAACCAAGAGCGAGAAAAAGTCAACGACAACATCATCTTCAAAGCCCGAACCATGTAACGTGCCGTTTGCCTCGTATTAACAACACACATGAAATCACCATCTCTAATGTAGTTTGTCTATTATCCCTTTAGTTTATCCAAAAATTGATGAGATAAAAACAGAAGACGATTTGACAAAGTATTGTCTCTCTCATAATACTGGTATCTGTGTCTTTACATTCCTTCCGCTCGAGCCAGAATATCCAGAGTCAGTCGCAGAATTCTCAAATGCCAAAGAGATCCTATCCAAAGTAAACGAGAACCTTTACAACTTATTAAAGAATCAAGTGCCATTGAGATTCATATGGTTCAATGCACTGGCAGATGAGTCGAAAAAACTTATCAAAGACTTCAAGCTAGCGGATGTTTTCCCCGTTTTAATGGCTTACAGTCCTCACAAGAAGATATACAGTCCATATTTAGGACCATTTGATAACGAGGGGATAGAGAAGTTTTTAAAAGATGTTTTAAATGGAAAAGGAAATAGTTACAAAATTGGATTTGAAGTGTCTTTTGCGCGGGAGCCGAACAAGAAAAATGATGTTAGTGGTAGTGAAAAGAAGAGTGATAAAGAAACTGATAAAAATAAAGAACGACAACATGAAGAACTCTGATTAACTTTGTCTAGTTCATTAAAGAACAATTTACTTTTTCTTCAAAGAATTGTGTCAGTGTGTATTAGTTTATAAATACAAGACGTATAAAGGAACGTACAATAATGTTGTTACATATACATCGGCTTTTTACTTCGGAGCCATTATAAACAATGTATGCACAGACATAAATATAGTTTATAATTTAAATAAGTTTTTGTTTATGTTATCCATCGTCATTTCTTGTGTGGGAAGGAATTAAGGGAGTTAATGAGCTATCGTAAACAGCAATGTCTGATGAGTTGGTTGTTTCGTCCTCTTGACTTTCAATTGGATGTATTCCCACGCTAATCATTTCATGCACACTCGAAGAATCAGTGTCAGCTGAAGTTTCTGTCCGGATTCTCCCACCAAACAGTTCATAAACACTTGAGGAATCGGCCATTAGTGGTGTTTCGCATCCTGTATTTATCGTGTCTGCCTCAGAATGAATGGTTATTACAGGAACGGAGAATCTTTTCGGAGGAGGTAGAGAAACAGTATCCGGAAGTCCTTCGTTTGCGTCTACGTGTAACGAGTAACTCGGAGGAGGAGCCTCTTCTTGAGTATAGACGGGTGGAGGAGGCGGAAGCGTCTCAGGGTCAGGATCAAAGGCTTGTGACCGATGCGTTACCACGATTGTTAACAGCTAAAAATAAATATATTAATATTAAACAGCACGTTAATAACCTTTCTACCGAGAACGTCTCAGGAAAAGCCGGAAATGACCAACAGATGTATAAATCGTCTCATTTATGTAATTACCATCCTGTGACCTAACCACAATCCTCTTGGTTCAAATTCATACTTCACAGTTGATGACGACCATTCTTTGGCCATTTCATCATACTTGGCTTGAGCCTATGTTTATCGCAAACAAAATTTTAGAGACCGAGATTGAAATTGGGGGGAGTAAATAAGCATGAGCCCTAATATAGTCTACTTATTCATTCGCTCATCAAACACACCTTAATCCTTTGCAGACGAACGACATTCATCGTCACCACATGAAATGCTAGCATTAATATTATCATTATTCTCGTGTACGGCACCGCTTCCTCTACATTTGCCACTGTAAACGCAACAATAGTGATGGCACCAATATAATCGATAATCTCCGCTGTAAAGGCCATCCACCTAGCAAATTGCTGTCTATCTATACAAGCGTGAATTCTGTTGATTCTCTCCGAATATACAGCTGGATCCATCTGTAAAATGAGAATAGCACGACAACACATGTTCAAAACCCAGATTGTTAAAAACATTTACCATTCTCCACTCTGTGCGAACTTTTATTCCAGGTCATAACATTTCATAATAAAAACTTACATGGCCTATGAGCTCTTCAGGGAACGTTTTAGATAGCCGGGGCTTCCTCCACACGGCAAATCTCCTCCATGCGCCCCAGGTTTTTCTTGAATAGTCTACGAGGATTCTAACTTCAACGGACTCTCTTTCAGGTTCTTCCAGAGAACTTATTGGCAGAGTTTCTCCTATTGCGTGAGCTGCTGATGGTGCTTGAATCGTTTGCGTTGCCTGTGTTTGAAAGGTCCGCCGTCGCTGTGTTCCAAGCTCGGACATTGCAGAATTAAGAGATATTATGACTATTACTATGGGGTTTTAAGAATCTGAATATTGACGTGGTTGTAAAAGGTCATAAGTAAGAAGAAAAAAAGAGTGAGGCTACCACGAAGATTCGTTTGCTATTTACAATCGATGCGCAAGACTTTTCTATCGGGTATTCTTAATTCTAAGGCTTACAAATAGAACAAACTAAACAAAGTGATTAGGTAACTTTAAAAGAACTAAACATCTCGTGATATCATGATGATCACCGAATTCCCCGGACAATTGACTTTTACGGATTAAATTTATTGATATCCGCTGCACGTATTAATAATGTCCTATGCATTCTCTTGTAAAATGGAGACTTGCACGCATCAACAATTGACAGTTGCACACGACGCCATAGCATTGTGATTGCACAAATTATTAATCTAATATGGTCACAGATGAGTTGTTTGTAACCAATCAGAGAGAACAATGTTTTAATATTTATTGCGCGGATTAGCTAACAACTCTTAGTAAAACAAGAAACTGCCACGATAGATATGTTTGAAGAAGGCTTAAACAAGTTCTATGTGTAGATTGATTAATGCACAAATGACTATAGTAGATATACCGTCATTATATGGAATCAATATGATGTTATTTAAAAAAAGGCGGTGTGTGTGGAAAGATTAAATGTGATATTTGCTTGTAAAAAGAGTTTGGGTGGTTATCAAAAAGACGTTGGGCAATATTCTGAGCAAATAATAAAATGCAGATAATTATAACGAATTAAAGAAAGAGGCGTTTATATCAGACTCGTGGCTTATTACCTTTCATGAATTCTTTTTTTTAAATTTCCTGGTAATTCTTCACTCGTCACTAATGGCTTGAATGACGATAGGATCTTTCCAAGACAGCTCTTCAAGCAGCATTGCCCTTATGCCAGAACATACAGTATGAGACAAAAATCCTGCCCTCAGTAAATTACAATAACTTTACAACAAACAAATAAAGTAAAACTCAAAATACCTCATTTACTACTTTAGCAATGAAATTTGTATGTTTTAGACTGTTGCCTTGTTGGAAATGCCAGACTTTCAAGCATTTGTTATATTCAGGTAGCTGTTTAGAAGAATTTTGACATAGATCAAATTTGTCATTATTTATTTCAAACCGAGCAATTGATAGATGGCGAACAAAATAAAGAACTGATTAAACTTGGTGTTGCTGAAAAAGAAAAGTTGCTAACCTACACTCACCGGCAAAAAGTATCGACAAAAATCTTGGTGTAACACAACACTGCATAAAAATCGTCAACTTCGATGG